TACTGACTACAAGATTTATTTTCACTGGGCCTTTGTGTATAAAGCAGTAAAAATTCCTTCCTAGAATTTGCAGGAGTTATTTATAAGTTGTTACAGTTCAAACTGTGTTTGACTTCTGTGATTATACACAAGCATCCTTTGTTGAAGTCATTGTCAATAACCCTCGTTCAACTCAGATGGTAAATGGCAGAGTTCAAGTGTAGCAGTAGCTCAGTAGCAGTTATATCCTCTCTGAAAACCATATCCTGTCAAACATAAGTAGTTTACATTTTCCTTGAAGCTACCTGGCATAAAATACCCCCTTAAAGGCACTTCCTGCCAAGTAGCTTTGCTCATGTTGTGAGAAACAATGACAGAGGAAGGCCAAAAATTAATGGGATACTTGATACACAGGAAGAAGAGCCAAAGATGAAGTTATTTTGTTGTGTTCTCATGGGTGGAGCTGGGTGATTACAAGGCCTCGATAACTTCACCCTGATTCCACTAGAAATGTGAAGCTTGGGAATGGGAATTGTGCCATTGAAAAAAGACTGGCTTCTGTGGGGAGAAAATGTGTAAGTATAAACCTTCAGAAAACTGAAAGATGAAGAAATTTGTATGTAACTATTTGTCACATAGAAAAACAGAAAATAATACTTAAAGTGATACCAGCACTACACAAGATTTTTACTGTCTTTTCCAACCAAGAGAAGTGAGAAGTTATGTATAATCTTATAAAGTTAAGCAAATATTGTTCTTATGATCTGTGTACCGTAGACCAGATCTTTTGGTGACTCTGTGCAACAGCAGGTTTCTCTGCATCTGTGAGATATCAGCTCTTATCAGCTCTGCTTACAGGCTGTTTTTGAGTCTGTCAGATGAAAGGAAGATTCATTCTGAAATACATCTATAACCTTTCTCTTTGTTTGAGTTGTACTGATGTTTTATATTTTCCACATTCACTCTCACTTTTTTCTTTATGATATGACAAGAGGCAGAAAACACATAGAAATTCTTTAGTCAGCTTAGCCCTGAGTGTTTTTTGACATAATTCAAAACTAAGATTTTTATGTATTCCATGTATTGCATGATAATATATTGGAGTTTTCTAGTGGTGATGGATACATTGCACATAGTGCTTTTCATTCATGGGGAAGCTACGATTTTACTGAGCAAGTAAGCAATTAAGGTGTGTCAGTGTCTCCCATAAGGCCTGGGCAGGCTTTTCAGGAGAAAGGAAAAGGGAATAACAAAGAAATCCTTTGCCTTGAATTGTTGTACAAGCAGTTGTATTTCTGAAGCATGTGGAGTCTGATGAAGTGAATGGATTTCCTCCAATGGCCAAAAGGATTTCTTCCCTTGCACTCTCATTCAAGCTGAATGTGGAGGACTGAAATGATGATAAGGGTTACAACAATCGTATCTAACGTGGGAGGAGAAAAAAAGGCATGTTTTTATGAACTTGAGGATTGGATAAAAGTCCATCTGTTATCAAGCTGAGACACTAAATACTTGAATTAGCATGCCACTGACATCCTTACATGTGCCCACAGGGAAGTGCCATTACCTTGGTGATCTGTGAGATTTTAGGCTCTTGAAGTTGCACTAATATCAAACTTTAATGCATCACCTCTTTTCTTAATTGTCACATAGCCATGCTTTATTCATATAGATGCCTGCAGTACAGTTAGAATCCTATATTTGTCCAAGGATATGGTCAGCTTGAACTAACTTGTTCTGCATACAGGGAAATGCTTGATTTGCACAAAGTAGCACTTGCCTTACTTTTGGGTAAACACAGCCACTTAGATTGTAGAACTTCTGCCCAGGTGGTTATCAGCAACATGCAAATAATCCTAAATAATCCTGCATTTCTGTGGGAATAGGCTGCACACAAGATGGAGGCTGGTGCTGACTGCAAGAAAGAACAGATTGAAACTTGTAAGTAGTTGACATGGGATGGAGTTGTCAGAAGCACACTGAAAAGAAGTAGTGTAGAGGACTGAGCGTGTCCTTATTGATGGTCTGAAAAGGCTATTATAAAAGAACAGATACCAGTTTGTTTGTTACATCTTGGGTGAATTTTTCCAAGACGGACATTTGAAGACTGTTCAGAGTAACTTCTGTTCTCTGTCTGAAAGTTCTTTCAGATTGAGAAAGAATGCAGTCCTGGAATGTGTGCAGGTTAAGAAGGCTTAATGGTGAGCCTGTGACATAAGAGGAGTTAGGGGTAATTTCTACCTGTCAGCTTGCTGGGGAGGCTGGCATGGATACTAGTGAATTCAGAGCTACTGAAGTTAGAAAAGCAGCTTGTCTAAGGAATTGCTGGAGTCTGGGCCAGACATCTTATTCTTTGGGTAGTGCTGAGCTGTCTATAGAATTTCACTGCTTGGAAGTCTTTGTCCCTGCAGTAAGTCATGTGCTGCTGTTGTTGCACCTGAAGTAGTATTGTTATGTATGGTGTATATAGCTACAGCTGCATGCATTAATCTTCTCACTTATTTAATTCTCAGATTCTGTTAAAGTGTAATGAGTTGACAATTATCCATCTTGTGGAAATACAGTGTATGCAGAACATCTGAATAGTATATCTAAATTGAATGAAAACAGCACTGATTTTTGGGGATCTGGTGAATTCCAATGGTAAGATAGAAAAAAGGAAGAACAGTTGATCAACAAAGCTTCAAAAGCTGACACATTTTTCCTTTTGTACTGCACACTGATATCAGTTAGGTGTAGCTAGATACCCTTTATTCTTGATTGTGATTTTTTTTAATGCAGTGCAGATTGAACAAGTGATGTATAGCCCATGTCCATTCTTGCTCTAAGTGGAAATAGTTTTCTTAAAGCTTCGTTATGCCTGAAAAAAATCTGAACAAATTTCACAGTTGTCTCTGAAAGAAAGTTGTGCATTAATTCTTTGAATTTCCTCTTAAATTTACATATATTGATATCTTGTCCTTTATATCACATGGAGAGGATGTTTTAGAGTGCAAACAGGTTCTAGACTACAAAGACTGTAGTGCTGTATATATGCACATAGGGAACTTTTCAGTAAATATATTGTTCTAAGTGTGCTTCAGGGCCAGAAGAGACGGTCTTACATGTGTTTCCTTGAAGAATTTGTGAACTACTCGGATGCAGTGGCACCAAGGTATTATAAACAGGTATAGGTCTGGTAGGGGCAGAATTTTTAAAGAATTCCTTAACTGTTCCCCATGTATGAATAGACATTCATCCTCAGCAGCAGTGGAGAAGTAGCTTTGTAGTGCTTCTGAGAACCATACCTGTTGAAAACTTCAGTCCTTGTGAATACTGGAAGCCAGACTTTGAGGATTTTAAAACTGCCACTTTACCATGAGATTAAGTTCTATGGGAAATTCTTCATAAAGTAAATGAGAGAGCAAAGGCACATACCAGTTTACCTTGTATTAATGCTTGCTCAAACAAGATCTGAAGCTTCTGAAGGATTGGGAGTAACCAAAAGTCCAGTCGTTGTCCATGTGATCAGGGGATTCTCAGCACATTTGGCAACATAGGAAGAAGTTGAGGTAGTTAGCATTTAAGGAGTGTACAGAACCTTCTGACTTGAAAGGGCTGAAACTTCTGAGAGTCTGTTCCCACTATTTTCAAGCTGTTTGTGAATTCTGAACATTTACTTTCTTGAAAAAATATTTTATGTCTCACTCTACTTGGTTTCTTCCATAATTCAAGAAAGTTTGCATCATTAAACCCTAAGACTGGGCATGTTACTTAAAACTGGGGCTTAACTCCTGAATGGCCAGGCAATGTAGGTGTGTTTGAGATGTAAAAAAAGCTTGGTGTGGGAAAGAACTGCATGTGTTATCTCAGGAAAGAGTGAAAATCCTAACCAGTCATGTTAATATACTGTACAACAGTAGCAGCTGTGTTTACAGTTTGAAAGTAATGTTTATATTGAATTAAAGAATAAGTATTTACGTCTTCACCAAGCAATGAACAGGAAATTAGAATTTTACCTCATCAGGAATGATGTAATCTTATGTCATACCATTTACTCTCACTGCTGACGATGTTTTAGTGCAGAATGTTGATATTCTGCTGTACCTACTTGTTCCCGAGCCTCAGTACAGAGGAAGGCTCCATGGCATTACTGCCATGCTTTCTCCTACATGACACTGATCTGTCACTTTTTATTTTCCTGAGAGCCTCTGGAGGGGCCTTTCTTGGCTTTCTTTAGTCTTAGAAAACGGTATGCATGTTTGCTGCTGGAATCCTCTTACTGCACTGAATGGAATGGATTAGTAAAGATAGCTTGCTGATTAATGCATAGCTGCCTACTACTACTCACAGAAAAGTGCTCAGATTTGAAGAGAACATGGTGTATTGAAGGATGAAGGGAAAAATTAGTGTGTACTACGTTTTTTTAAGTCTATCTATACAGTGGCAATACTGTAAATTTCAATTTCTACAGCATTGTTCATTCTTCAGTCTCTTCGATGTTTTGTGTAGTGTGTAAAAGAGCTAGTATTAGAGTCAAAGTTATTTGTGCATCAAAACACATTGCACAGACGTGAAATAACTGTGCTTGTGCCAGTTCATTTGATATTAATGCTGATGTAACTGAATAAGAGATACTGAAATGGAACATTCTAGCTAAAAGGGCTGAAGATTATATAGATTCAAAAAGGCAAAATTCAGGAATTCTTTACAAAATTGTGAACATATTAGCTTCTGCAATTAGGTAATATCACTGTAATAGTGAATATACATAAAGTATAAATGTGCAAAAATCTTGTCTAACGATATGCTGTGTAAATCAGTTGTGAAACATTACCACCTTTGCACCAGAAGGTAGCAGCACAAACAATTAAGCTCTAGATAGCATTAATGGAAGAGTATGAGAATTTTGGCTAATATCATCAGGGAAATACTGTTTGAAAAGGCACTGTGGGTTTTTTTATGACTATGCAGAACAAATACCTTCTTGTTTTCAACTAAACCTCTTGATTCCTCTATTTTAGGAGCAGGAAAGTCATTTTCTGTTGAACTCGATGAGAAGAATTATTCCTAAATGTGGACAGTCTGTCTTGCAGTAAAAACTGATGTGCACAGCCAGATAGAGAATGATTTTGTTCTGCAGTTTTAAGTACTTACAGACATGTTTTTGATCCACATACATGTGACTGGGGTAAGGAAGTGAATTCTGACTGTTGTGACCACACACTGGTGCCAGTGAACTGACTGATATTCTGGGAAAAAAAGGGACTATGCCCTTTTGTCTTCTTGAGACCACTTTTTTTCCAGATCTGATATGCACAGTACACAAAAACCAGGCTGAATTAGAGATATGCCTGGAATCCCTAGGGTTTCTTTATTAGCTGAGAGGTAACTTGGCATTCACTTGGATCTGGCAGGGAGCTAACAAAATAAACAGTGGAGAGACACAAGTTCTGCCTTTGCAGGCACTAACTTATGTTCTGCTGGAATGCTGCCATGGGCTTCAGTGAGAACAGTAATTGGTCATGCGACTGGGGGAACACTACCAAGCAAGGAAATGCATTATTAATGGGACAGAGTTTGTGAAGTGGTAGATAAGATAAAGACACTAAGTCACTTTCTTGGTGTGGGCTTTGTCTTTTCCTACTTAAAGAAGTATCACCGTGGCTTCAGAAATGTTCTGCAAGCCTGAACATTCTAATATGAAGTTCAGCATTTGAAAACATGCCAGATACTCTGCTGTCCCAACCAAACATGCAGTTACTAATTTGTGGTTACGGAGGTGTTCTGCAAAAAGTGGGAATGGAGTGAAGTGCACATGTACAGTACTGAGAAGCGTTAATAATAAAAAAGCCATGCCATTCCAGGTGAGACCTGGAGATGGCAAATGGAGCAGGAAGGGTGTGGGAGCTGGATTTAAAAAAAAAAAACAACAAAACAAAACAAAAAAAAACAAATGCACACGATATTGTTTGAAGCTTCAGGCAATGGCATCGCTGGAAATGAGTTCTCAGTGAGCATAAACAGAAGTGTGCTATCTGGGGAAGAGGGTCTGAGCAAATGTAATTCCATCTCAGAGGAGTTCTTGAGAAGGCATGCAGAAGAATTAAAAGATGCCTAGATCATTGCAGGAGAGGTTGAAAGGGCTTTTCACCTGATGGAGAATCACCTATTCAGATAACAGCATCTTTGTGGTTTGGGCAAGTTGCAGCTGGGGACATTTGAGCCTTACTGTGACTTGTACAATATCTGACACTGATGGTTTCTGTTTTATTCTCCCCTTCAGTCACAACTAACCCCAGCAACTTTGTATGGCACATACTACTGAACTGTACAACTTTTGTGCTGCTGAGGAGCTTAGTTCAGTTGGTGGGAGAAATCTTATTACCAGGTAGGAAAACACGTGGTTTGTTCTGTACCTGTAGATAAGGGAGGGCTATAACAATAACATCTCTTACCAGAAATGTCCATGTCTGCAGTCAGGAAATAGACAGACAAAATATTTGCAGATGGAGTTAAAACCAATTAATGACCTGCTATATAACTCAGAAAAAAAAAAATGGTTCAGTTATCTAAGTTTGCTGACACTTTCAAAACAAAATGATGACTAAATAGTAATGCATAATGCAAAGAATGAGTGGTACACCAAGATGAATAGGATTTAGTTGCTGTTTATCACAGTTAAGCCATAGCCTGAATGCTGTAATGCTGATTACTTAAATTCATTGTGCAGACAGTATAATCTAGCAGTTAGCAATGTGCCTGTGAGAAGGAAGAAACTATTTCTGTCATTTTAAACTGAACCATAGTCACAGTGATTGATGAAATTAAACCTTGTCTTATTTTACAGATAAAATACATTTATTATAAGTCTTTTGTCTGAAGCAAAGTCTATAAAGCCCACTGAATTCTAACATTGTACTGTCTAAAATATTTGGAAGAACTGTGAAATTCACCACCACCAATGAACTCCTTTTCTACCTCCAGTTTTTCAGTAATATCATGGCAGTTAATCTGGTCTGAATTAACATTTCTCAAACTGAAAATACTTATTATTATGCTTATTATTGCTTATAATAATGATGCTTATTATTATTATTATTATTATTATTCCTGTAGATTCTTAGCTCTTAGAGAGCTTTCTGTTTTGCTGGATCCAGATGATCACGCAGTGCATTCCATGGTAAATGCTCTTCCAAAGTTTTCCAGCCTACTACCATCAGATGAATAAAAGTATTTAGTGCCTTTCAGCTGCCAGCCATGGAACAACTACTTTAGCAAAGGTAGGGAGTATTGTTTGCCAGATGTGGAAGCTAAGGCATAGAAAGTTTAAAAGATTTCTTCACCCTCAACTGCTGAATTTTTTTGCTTAGTCAAGATGCTTTAGAACACATGTTCTTAATTGTCTGAAAATATTGAGAAGGCATGTTTACTTATGAGAAATACTTATGGATTTTCAGCCTAGCAAGAAGAGCAGATCCTAACAAATGAGGTCTGCAATGCTCATTTTGCCTCATACACTATCGTATGCTGAAGTCGATGGGCATTTTATGTATACATGCAGTTGGGTTACAGTGATTGCTTTTAACCTTTCAAGCAGTTTTTGATAGAACTAGACACTAGGAACTATAAGTGTCAGATGCAAAGGATAGGTAGTAATGAATCTTCAAAAATAATGTTGGGTGAAAGAACTGGAATAATTTGGCCATTGCGCACCTGTTGAAACCTTTTCATGTGAGTGGTACAAAATTTCACCTTCTGTTCATAGGTGGTGTACTTTCCCTTCCATCTGCCTCAACCAGTTCCCTCTGAGTCATGCACATTCCTCTTCACACTCTTAGCAAGAAATTAGAATGGGAAAGCATGAAGTGCAGCAGTAAATCAGCTTCCTATCTGGCAGCACTACTCACCAGCAGCTGGTTATGCACAAGTAGCACTCTTTGTTCACTGGTTGCTTTTCAAAAAAAACTTTTTAGATAGTGTTTGTTGTATGTACAATGAACGTATGGAATAGAATCACATGAGAAAGTGAATTTTTTTTAAGTCCTCTTTCTTATAAAAGCCATAACCGTTGTGCTGTTTGAAAACTGCCTGTGAGGAGACAGAGACATGAAAAACTGTAGTGGATATGACATGGCTGTGACAATGAGAATGATTTGATATGCTCAATACAGACTTGCCTTGGAGTAAATCATCATAGAAATCCAGCTTGCGTTCAGTACTAAAGGAAAGTCCTGAAGTCTTGTTTTGCTTTGTAGCAAGCCCGTAGGGTAACATTTTCAAGAGGTCAGAGGAGACAGATTGCAGAACTAAGGCTGTACTGCTGAAAATGCTCCAGAAGTGTCAATTTTAAAGAACTGTAGCCATAATTTATTCTCTCTTGCTGTCGTCACTCCAAAGGGAAGGAGAAAAAATGAATTGGTTTTTCTGTTGTCACAGCAGTATAGGAGGCATTAACTTCTGGAAAGCAAAAGGCAGATTTAACCTTAAATGCTCCTATTCACTGAAGTAAGAAAACAGCAAGATATCAGCTGTGCATTATTTAGGATCGAAAATCTTTGGTGCTTCTAATGAGAAAGGAGGGAAGATACTCTCAGAATAAATACACTTTTAATTCTGGCAGTAAACAAATCAACTGCAGATCAAAGACCCACAGCGAGAAGAAAGAACACTTGAGATAACGACCTATTTATAAATAACCTGAGGCAACCACTAAAATGATGAAACAATTAAAAAAACTTAAAAAAAAATCAATCCCTCCCCTTGGCTAACTATTAGAAAAACAGGAAAAGAGGTATTTTGAAGCAAATTCCTTTCCTGATGCTGCCGCCCCTGATATCAGTGTATCTTTTTTCTTGATTAGTACATGTGCTCAATAATCCATGTGGTCATGGATTACCCATTTGTTTCTGTATATCCCATTGGTGTTATAGATAATGCTGGTCTCAGTGAGAGAAGTACTACCAATTTACTGCTTCATACTTCCCTGCTATATTATTTTTCTATCTTTGTTCATGTTTTGAACATCTGAGCTGTGATCCATCTGTTACAGAGATGTTTATTCTTAGTCCAAGATGGAATTTCAAATTTCTGTTTCTTGGTTACCATTTTCCTTCATCCAAGATCTATATATTTGGACATATGATACTAAGACATCCTGCAATTTTAAGTAGAGCAACTTGAAAAAAAAAAAAAGAAGAATGAACAGTTCTGTCCTCTGAAATATCCCTCTGAACACAGCTCAGCTGTATGTCACAGCTTACTGACATTTATTTCAGTGGATCTGTTCCTGCAATAGGTCATCCTTAATCTATCATCTGTACACCAAATATACATTATTCGTTGTAAATATACAATATATGGAAGACTGATTGTCTCACTTGCTCTAGTAAAGTAGTATCTTAAGGCTACCAAAGTCAATGCTTACAGAAGTAGGGCTTTTTGCCCCAGTTCTCTTGTTTGCTATGCGTCTCTTAGATTCACTTGTTTGTATGAATGATTGCAACTGGTTGTGGCCTGGTCCTTCACCCATCTTACTGCTGTAATCCCACAAAGCTTGTTGATGAGAAGTCATGCTATACCCTTAGGCCCAATTCTCTGTGATTTTCATCCTACTCAAAGGAAAGTCAAAAGGCAGTGCTCTTATGTATTTACAAGGCATGAATATTTACAGTATTTCCTCTAAGCATGCAGTCTTACCTCCTGGGTACAGGCTTCTCTCTTCTGATGGCTCATTGTTTTGTCCTTAACATAGCTAAACCATTCCTGTTCTGTACCTCTAATCTCCATCTCCAAAAAGCCTCACAATAATGAAAGTGTACGTGTGCCTGTCTATGTTTTGTGGCAAGAACATCCACCAAAACATTACTCCGTGCTGTGGATTTGCCTGGCACAGTGCAGTTCCTCTACATGCAGAAGGCACTGCTGAGGTGAAGCACTACAGAGGAGCAAAGCATGAGTCTGACATATGGACAGTAAGTCATGTTTGTGAGCACCAGTGCAGCCTATACAAAAAGACAGATTGCACAGTTGCAAGGTATAATGAGAGAGAAGGAATGGGGGGAATGTCTAATGTATGCTGAGCGGATCCGTGTAATAAAAAATCAGTCCTTTGAAATCACACTGATAATGCTGATACAGGAGGTTGAAGAGACCTGTGAATTTCAGACTTATTGGCTTATTACTTTCAAAATCTGAAGTAACATCATACAGTGTAAGGACTATAGACATTCTTCTACGCTGAGCTGCTTCCAGTTTTTTCAGTCCTTTGTTGCTTCAGACTATAGTTCTCATACCCTAATGGCTGATTCCAAGACATTCCCTTTTCAGCAGCCTTTTTAAAATTCCCTGGAGTCTGAGGTCAGCCAGAGTTGTATAGTCTGCTAACACCCAGAAACCTTTGTAGCTTTCTTCTTTCCCTCTGGGATTTGCCTTTATATGTGATTCCAGGCTTTCACCAGTGATACAGCTCCCTGTATAATGCTAATCCAGAAACAGCCTTATATTTTGCCCCCTCCTTTTCCTCTAGCTATTCCATTTGAGCTGATAGTGATCACTGATGGCTTAGCCCATTGCTTGTGCTGCAGTTAGCCTCCATCAGAAGTCCTGCCTCAACAACCACACTCCATTGGATAACTGGGGGTGATACTTACTGACAGCGTAACACCACTGGGGATTGGATTAGCCAGGCATGCAGAAATGCGAAAGTGCTTGTCTAGCCTAATGAAAATACAACTTGGAGATAGAAATAGGGCTCAGCTCACCAATGCCAATATACTCTTCTTTTCAAAATCTTTCCCTGCATAGGTATTGGTCATGTAATTTGTTTTCACGTTATTCTTAAAAGTAAGAAAAAGGGTAGGAGAGCTTTGTTTGGATTGGCGTATCTGATCTTCCTCGATCAGGGTATGGTGCATCCTGCATTTCTTGCAGGTGGAGGCTTTGGAGAACATGTTCTAAACAGGGCTGTTGTCCCAGCTGTAACTATGAAAAGATAAAAGATAGCTCTGGGCCGGTCTATTCTGTGAGGAGTGGCTCAAGCATATTTTGCATTGCAACAAATGAGAGGCAGGATTTACAGCCAGGCAAAAGTAATGAAGCTGTTGTTTATTGATTAGAACTAGTTTCTGTCTGAAGCTTTTCCGTAAAGCTTGGGACCCTTCTACAGCTAAGAGGCTTTCATCTACACAAACTGTTCTTTTCTTACCTTATAAAGAAAATGAAAAAAAAGTCATGGATGCACAGAGCTTGGGAAATTCAGTTTAGGAGTTGACGAATCAGTTTAAGATCAGTGTCAGATGAATTTAATCCAAGATAATAAAATTACACAAACCAATTTGATTTATTCTTCAACCCACTTTACAGTAAACAGACACAGTGTCAGTAGGGTCCTGGAACTTAGTTATCCCTCTCTAAAAACACCATCCCTGAACACCCACCTAAATCCCTTTCTGAACACATCCTCCGATCCTGTCAGAGGCAACTGGCTTACCAACAAACAAGAGGAAGCCCAGTGTGCCACCTCGTTATCATTATGTTTTCTCTTCAGGGAAACCAGGATGACTAAATCCTTCCATGAGATACTAAACTTGGAAAGTTATTTTATTTTTAACTCCTGGTGTAGATAAATATCACGCTTTTCTCCATGTGTGCTGATTTCTGTGGTGCATGCACTTATATTTACATAAACAGTTCTGATTCTGCAAGATGGAGAATAACCTTCATCAAGAGAACTTAAATCTGCTGATGGTCAGGTAAGTTACTTCGATGAAACATTGAGGGCTATTTCCTTCAGAAGATAGAATAAGTAAATAAATAAAAAGAAACCCAAACTTTCCCAGTACCCCCTATGGCACACTTATAATTTAAAATGAATTTGTGAGAATAAATTGACAGGAACACTTCAACTCATGGTCGTGAGAACTCTGAGAAAACTTAGTGGAGAAATCCTTTTTTTCTGCTGGTGAGCAGTTAATGAAATGGCTAGATTTCCTTTTTATCTTGAACTTACACTTATTGGCCATTCCTTCTCAGTTTGTTACTTCTCAGGACTGAAGGAGGGTTGTCCTGCGTGACCTGCTGTAGGGAACCTGCTTTAGCAGAAGGCTGGGCTTGATGATCTCTAGGACTCCTTTCCAACCCCTGCAATTCTGTGACGTTTTTTTCCCAACAAAGCAGCATGAGAAACTGAAATTGTGAGTTTAAACAAGGCAGTATATTCAGAGCAATTGCTTTCCTCTTTTTCCATCTCTAATTGCTGAAGGGAAAGAGACCTAATCTATCAGAGCCATTTATCTCAATCAATATATGTTCCTTCAGTCTCCACAGTTGCAGCATTCTGCATGAATGGTTCCCATCCAGTAAATTTCCTTGCAGCCAAATAGGAAGCCTCAGCTTCATGCTCAGTATTGAATCTCCATTCCTTACTAATTGCTTGCGTGTTTCAGGCTGGGGTAAGAATGGGGGTGTGAACCAGCTGCATGCATACATGCATGGGGAGAGGAGCAGGTACCTTGGGGGGTCCTGGAGAGACTCTAGGGCACACTGGAAGTCTCTAGGGTACCACGGAAGACACATGAGAGCTCTGGGAGTCTTGTAGGGAACCTTACAGCACACTGAACAGCTCTGGGTGTGCTCCGGTGTGCTCCAGAGTACACTGATGGGTCCTGGGAGCCCACTAGGACACACTGGGTAGAATCTAGGAGAGCCTAGAGGACGCCTATGAGCTCTGAGAGTACTCTAGTGTGCCCTAGGGTACAGTGGGAGGTCCTGAGAGTATTCTAGGAAATGATGGGATACCTCTAGGGTACCCTATAGCAAACTGAGATGCTCTGGGTGCACTCCAGCATGCCCTAGAGTACAGTGATGGGTCCTGGAAGTACACTAGTACACACTGGAAAGCCTCCAGGGCACACTAGAGTACTCCCAGAGCTCTCATGTGTCCTCTGCGGTGCCCTAGAGTACACTGGGATGACCAGTGTACTCTAAATCATCAGTCTTGCCTGGGCCACACTGAGTAAAGAGGAACTGTCTTGGGCCACATATACATAAGTTGCTTCAAAAGTAATGCCTCTTTTTTTTTATTTCCATGGAAATTACAGTGAGCTACAAAGGGCACAATACTACTATTTGATGGAGCAAGTTCTCATCTACAAAACATTATTTCTTCAACATAGTCACCACTATTAGCTATGCATTTTCACCAGCAATGAACAAGAGCCTACATGCTGCACCGGTGGAAGTGATCCATTGTTGCCACTGATGAAATGCACCACACACTGTCTCACTGTACTCACACCCACTGATTAATCTCTGTACGCATCCAGCAAGCATCAGTAAATGTCAATAGTGCCATTTTTTTCTGCGTGGAAGAATTTAATGGCAAACCTTTGTTTCATACATACTTCCATGTCAGACGCCATTGTGTCAGACCACCCCCCTGCTGCCATCTGTCACACAGCAACAACACGTAATATGGGATATTGATGGAAAAGTTCAACCTCTACTGCCATCCCGCCAATATCCGCCTCTGACGTCATGGGCAAAACATCATAACATAGGAGACATTACTTATGGAGTTGCCCTTGTAAAATATGCAATATCATTAATATATGTGACAAAATATTTTACTTGTTAGTATTTTTCAGAAGATACTTTTAAAAAATGAGGAAGAAAAACATAGAGCTAGTGGAGTATGTGACCTTGTTTTTGTGCAACTAATGCATCAGGCTGGTTTGATGGCAGTGGCTGCAGTTCTCAGCTTTCAAGGTGTTTGTCAGAGACTTTTGATGAAATTTTACTCTTTCTATACTTCATCCTTGACAATTATTCACAAGAGCGCATACTGCCAGAAAGTTGTGACATGAATAAGGCATGACAGTGAAGCAAAGGATATCTCTCTGTGGTTGGAAAGGTCTTAGGAAAGTCCCAAAGAGGCAGGATGGGGTTCTTGAGTTGAATATCTGATGGCAACTCTTTACATTCCATTTGAAAATTTGCGGGTAATGTGTATATATACGTATACATGATTACAGTGTGAGGCTGTACAGAGGGTGGCTGCTCTGTGAGCTATGCCAGCTTGTGGGTTGGACATGGAGCACACTGAGGAGTTCTTGGAGCACTCTACAGTACTCTAGCGTGCCCTTGAGTACACTGGTGGGGGTTTTAGGTAGCCTTGGGGGCACACTGAGGAGCTCTCACTGGGGAGCAGGCTGGGCCAAAACCTTTGGCAGCAGTAACTGCAGGCACTGCCATGCCCTCCTCATGACTCAGACCCATTTGTGTCTCGCTGCCTCTCACATCCCAGCCGAGGTATCCTAGCAACTGTGCACCAACTGCCAGGTGGCACACAGTGCTTTCTGTCTTCACAGCGCTCATCCACGTCTCCTTTCACTGAAAAACCCTCTCAGGACCTCTCCAGACACCCGGTGCCAGATCCTGGAGATGTGCACACTCAGCAAGAGGAGAGCACCTCCCCGCCTGCTCTAAGTGCTCCTTTGCTGCAGCAGCTGCCCAGCTTTAAGCCCTCAGGACCAGAGTGGAGTGATGTGATTCATCAGACCGTAAGGTCCCAGTGGGACTCCCCACTGTCTTCAGGTCCAAAGTAAAGCAGTGCAATGCCACTATGGGGTGGAGGTCTGCCAGAGCTGCCCATCGTTACTTGAGATGTCTTTTGTTCTCAGTAGGGGTGGCTTGAATGCAGGGAGCAATTCAGATAATAGCTGAGAGCCAGTAGAATCAGGAGCTTGTGATGGAAGTTGTGTGGTGGTGCGTAGAGTTGGGCTTGATTCTTCAGGGTACATGATGTGTATGTGTGTGTGCATGCACAAAGCAGTTCTGGAAGGAGCTGTTTTGCCTAACTGGTTATCTTGAGAAATGTGGAAAATTGTCCACGCTGTTGAAACTGCAGTGCTTCTGGAACTCAGGGTGGGCTGACTGCATGGTGCCACAGGCTGGGACACACCGCTGTATCCCAGCTTCATCTGCTTGCTCTGCTCCTTGAGCTGTGGGTGTACAAGAGCACTGTGAGGAGTTGTAACTATCTTGGACAAATGTTAGGATATGGGAACACATGTCTGGCAGTTACAATAGTTCTTCTCGTGTGAACTCCAGAAGAATTTTTAGGTTGCAGGCTCAGGTCTGGGCTCTATCATGTTAGACAACTGGTAAACAGAAAAGCTGAAGAGAAACAGAAATAGAAGCAGAAGAGAACATGTTTGTTCCTTAAAACTCATTCAGCCAGAATCTGAGGTCTAAATTCAAAAGCATCATTTTGAGTCCTGTAGCTGGGATGCCGTTTTCCAATGAGGATCTTTCACAAAGGGACTTCCTCCACAAACCAGTATTTTGTGCGTTTTTCTTCTTTTTCTCTTGCTATTTAGTTGCTCACACACTGAATAAACAGTTTCAAAGTGCTTTCAAAATCTGAAAGATGTGGATGTTATATAAAGGAATCTTGTGAAGCGAGGTATTTTCCTTCTAAAGGAATTTCTTTTTCATTAGCAAGTCCCTCATTACAGGATTAAAAGCTAAGCTCCTTCCTCCCTCCTTGCTTCCCCAAATTAGGTTTTCACAAGACCTCTTATGTGTTTTTCCAAGTGTCACGGGTCTCACCTCTGCTGGCAGAAACTTAGATGTTAGTAACACTAATTACTTCAAACCAATTGACTACATGTAGATAGGAAAATCTCTGCTAGGAAAGTATAGGAACCCTCCTTTTCCACTTCTTTTCCTTTTTTTTATTTTTATTTTTTTAAACTACAGTTACTAAGTGTATTGAAAATATTCAGAGACATATTGTTGAGGAATTTCACTGACTTTAAGTCTGGGTGAGTCTAGATTTGCAGAACAACCCTCCTCTAACCCCCAGAGATCTTGCTTATAAATTCTCCTACCAGTGTTCTGAGAAGGGACATAACTTTCTAATGGAAGCTCAGGCATGTTAAATCCCCAGTTGTGCTAAGAAGTTGCCCAAAATGAATACCGTATCCTCTGGAGATGTTCTTTTTCTTATAGGACTTTCTGATATGGGGCTGTGGGGAGAGAGGATGTAAATTTTCACCAAGTATGAGAGCTCAAAGTTGGTGTGAAGGTACTCATCTCTTTTGTTTTATGTGGCTGTAGAATGAAATTGCTTTGTAGTACACTCTTCTTTAGCACAGAAGCAGTCAGATAAGTATCACGTCATAATGCAGAAACATCTGCTGGAAGATTAACGAGAAGATTAATGGCCATGCTCTTTCTGCTTCATTATTTCTACTTTCTGTAGAAGACATCAGTGCAATCTTAGTGATTTACTGTGGAGCAGAAGGGAGTCAAAAGTAGGATCAAATTATCTACACTGAGAGCTGGATCTCAGGGTCCAATCATACCTCTAGCAACTGCATGCAGGGAAAAGCTTTTTACTCAGTCATGTCTGACCATGCACGGCCACAGTTATGGTCATGTTTTCTCTTACATCCCTGTAGGAACTTCTGTGCGCATCATGATGGGGTGGAAAAGCAGAACAATGGGCAAAGAGCTGTAAGCTCAAAGGTCAGCCTCTTCTAGGTCCTTTCCTTTCTGTGAAGTGGTAATCAGATAGTGTCTATATTACAGGCAAGTTGATACATAATAATAATTAATGTAATAATATTCTAAACTTCCTACTTCCCTTTTTCCAGTCCCGACTTAAACTGTAAATGAGTGAAAGAAAAAAAAAAGAAAGAAAGAAAAGAAGCAAAAAATACTTCCAAGAATAAGATCCCAAGAGTGTGAATAGCTGTTTTTGTCAGATTGAATAGATACCTGCCAGATGTATAGAAGCTGGAGCGTGCAAGGTTTAGCAGCCTGGGGAGTATGAATGATGCAGAGACTGTGATGAATGCTGAGCATTTAAAATACAGGGTCTTACTCTCAGCAACAACAAAATATGCACAAGAAAGAAGAAGCTTGTGCCTCAAAATGGAAACAGAGCTTCTATGTCTGAATTCCAGTAAGAAGATGGTTTTTCTCATATTCTGTACCTGGAAAAAAAAAAAAAAAAAAGCCCAACAATGTTTAGTGCTCTTACAATTTCCTCATTTAGTGAGATAATTTCACCAGATTTCATTATTCTTTCATTTTGGATTCTAGAACAAGTGGAAAGCAGAATAACAGTTAACCTGGACTTTCTGAAAATAGACCAATTTACATTTTTATTAGTATGTCTGGTTTTCTAGATAAGGATAAACAATGGTGATCCAAATCAACACTGGTTGAAAAGCAGCAGATTCAGTATTCCTGGGTACCATGAGAATATATAAATAAAACTAAAAAATCTGGTGTTGGCTCAAAAGTTGGAAAGTGGGCGAGCAGCTGAAGAAGACAGTGAGTTGTAGTGGAACATAACTGGTATGCTAATGATATCAAGTCTCTTTCTGTGTGTGTGTTCTGTGTTAATGAACTCGGGGAAAAAAATGTGATGATGTAAGAGATTAAGTTGGGGACTGTGTCAGGCTGGTGAACAGAAAGAACTGAATAACTTGAAAGAGTACACTAACAGAAACAGAGTCCTGTGGTGAGGTCTTTGCAGAGGAGATAGGGAGGTGCTCATACCATTGTGCTGTGTGCAGTCCTGACAGTGGGAATGTACAGGATGTTCGAGAAATGTAACTGGAGCAGCTTCAGATGGAGTGAATACAATAATCAGGATGGGA